GCTTCTGGAAACAGCCCTCTGTAAAGAGAGATGCAGGTGTGGTGGGTTAATCCCCAGCCTGGGCAGCAGAACTCTGTGGTCTGCTCCAATTCTGTCTCCCAGAACTGTCCAACTGGATGGAGGCCCTGTTGCCATGGTGATGGCCTGCTCAACAGCACACCTTGTATTGGCTCCCTTCCCTCAGTCTCACTTCCATATCCCTCAATCTGAGTTTCCAGGAACTACTTACATTCCAATCTTTGACCCAAGTTCAGCTTCTGAGGCAAACCAAGTCGAGACAGGTAATGAACCTCCCTCAGTTTATAGCTGGAGAAACTGAGGCTCGGAAAGGAGAAGGGAACTTGTTTATGGTCACCAAATAACTGGTTGAGTCAGCGTTTGAACCTCGGCCTGCAGGCCCCCAGCCTAGGGCCCTACCCACTAGGCCAGACACATTTTAGGTTAGCTCTTCCCCCTCTCTGCTCACCTCTGAGACCCACCCCCACAAAGTCAGAAGTAGAAGCTATTCTTTCTCCATTTCTATTTGAACAGAAAGCACGAGGCCTCAGTAAGGGAGAAGGGGCAAGGGTCTGAGGCTCCCAGATATGGCCCTCATTATCCTAGGAAGTGGGCTTTTGTCTCCATGGCAGCCAGGGCAGCCACCCCATTTATCTGTTTCAGCGAAGCAGCTGTATTCCTGGGTTCCAACTGCTGGGGCTTAAATGGTATGTTTGCAAAATAGAGTTATTAGCCCTAAAAAAGTAGGGGGAGGTAGAGGACAGGAAGCTTGGGGTCCTTTATATCAACATTAAAGAAGTGTGATATCCAGAGAGATGACTTTAAAGGGACCAGAGCAACTCCATATTAAAGACAGCAACCAGAAAAATGGAGTGGCGGTGGATAGAGTGGTGTCATCTTATAATAGTTGAAGCTGTTTATCGTCAGTGAAAGGAATCCAAAGGGAATATCACCGAGGAACAAAGACATTTTCTGTCTCTTTAAATAACTCAAGGCAGCTTGACATCTTAGTCAACAGAAGGAACAAAGATATTGTGTGTTCAGGGAAAGGAAACTATTTTTCTCCTGAAAAGAAAGCAGATGTTATCACCTACCTTGAGAGAGGTTTGCGGAACCAGAGCACAATTTGACACTTTTCCAGGTTCAATAAACACTGCTTTGATGTGCTAACAACCCCTAATGAAGTTGCTCAGTTAAATGAGCTAACCTCTAGGTTACTAACAGATTCTTATGACAGTTTCCTTTTCTGTGTATGGAACATTATACTGCAGATGCCTTAAGCAAATCATTCTGTTCCCGCCTTGCCATGAAATGTGTGTGAAGAGCTAGTTGCAAATTCATTCATTCGTTTACACAGAAAATTCAGTATTTTTACTGTATGGCTGAAGAAATGATACATACAGATGATATTAATAGATTAGATTGGCCATACTTATAATTATATATCATCTAAAAAGTACCCCCAGAGGGACTTTCCTGGTGGTCCAGTAGCTAAGACTCTGCTCCCAATGCAGGGGGCCCAGGTTCCATCCCTGGTCAGGAAACTGGATCCCACATGCCGAAACAAAGATTGAAGATTCAGCAAGCTGAAACTAAGACCCAGCACAGATAAATAAAAAAAAGTACCCCAGAGACTCGTGTTGCGGGCCCAGCAGGAACATATCACTATGTTCAGGGGAAGGAACGGGATTTCATTGAGACTGTTATCTTTTTGCCCAGCCCTCATATGTTTAGGGGAGAATTTGAACAAATAGGTGGGAAAGTAGCCAAAGCAGTTTGGCTGGGGCTGATGGTATAAGATGTGAAGTTGATAGAGATAAAGCTGGAGAGATAACTTGGGTCCCCATTAGCTTTTTCTTAAAGGCAACAGGAAGTCACTTCAGTGGTCATGTTGAGGAGGAAGATTGGGCTGAAGATGGTTGCCTACTTACTCCAAAGGACACTAGCTCACATCCCTCATACAGTATTGACACAATGGGTTGGTTATGAAGGCTGTTCACACATGTGGCTAATTTGGGGGATAGGAGGCAGAGAGGAAGGAAGGGGTGAATTATTAAGATTTCAGATTACAAAGTGGAAGAGGAATTTCTCAACTGGGTTAGACAGCAAGGACATCCTCTCCCTGGTGGGACCCAAGACCCACCTGGCACATAACTGCAGAATTAAAGCACCATCCATTTGAGTTACTGGTTAAAATTCTGCTGGGTTTTTCTTGATAAACTCTTAGACACTTAACATTTATTTATATGGCTCATCCACAGAATTTTTCTTCAGGATGGACCCTCAGCCTGTTACTTACTTAATTTCTCCCCTCCCTCCGGCATCCTTCCCGAATCTATCCGGGGGAGTTAAACTTCAGTAAGACCTCTTGCATTTCTCTGAAAGAGGTCTCTTGCATTTCTAATTATTTGGGGTTTTCCCCTTCTACTCCTCTCAGGCCAGACTTCCAAAATGCATGCTCCGGTCAATATGCTCTTCAGCAGAAAGCTCAGGGAGTGGGAGGTGCAGGGTAATGAAATTTTCTGGGTAATGGAGGGATCTATTGATAAAACTCAATTTGTTTTAGCCTTCTTTCTGGCTGCTAGTTGTTTTTTTTTTTTTTTTAACGTCTGAGTCACTTTTTCTGCCCTGCGATTGTAATTAAGTGGATTCTTGCTGAAGAGGGCTCTTGCAGCCACGGAGGAGTGGTGTGGTCATCAATAACCACAGGCCAGGGCTAGAGAAGGGGATGAAAAAGGAGAACAACATGGGGTAGCCACACCCCCGACCACGGGGCTGCAGGGCATCATGGGAACCGAAGGTCAGCTGCGGCCACATGCCTTACAGTTCCCTGCAGCAGCCTCCTCCCCTCCTGTCACCCGCAGGAGAAGCAGGGTCAGAATCATGGCACAATCTTGTTTCTTGCCTCATCTTACCCCGACCTTCACGAGAAAAAGAAAGATGTTGGGGAAACGCTCTGTAGGAGTTTGTTTTCAGAGGCAACTTTAGGGGAGGTCTGGGCTGGTCTGGACATCCTGGATATTAGGAAGAACACCACCCATGAGCTGGGAGAGTTTATTTCTTGTCCTGCTCTGCTGTTGATAAGCTGTGTGGCCCTGGGTAAGTGGCTTCTCTCTGGGCCTCATTATCTGTCTCTAAAAATGGCTGTGGTCTGCAGGGTCTCTATCCATGCAGCTGAAAGTTGGGATAGTAAAGCCTTTCCCGCTCACCTCAGGGAGGTATGGCGAGATCAAGATAAAAAGTGCGGGGAAATCCTTGGTAAGCTGTAAAGCCCTCTGTCCCTTGGAGAGGTGAGCTCTCCACAAGAGGCTCCCCTCAGCAGCCAGGGACGTCTTGATGCAAACCAGGTGTCAGTGTGATCAGATCTGAAGGAAGGGGGCCTGGGGAGACTGTGGCCTGAGGGAGGAGAAAGGGAAGTTAAGTGCACAGCTGGGCCTTCCAGAATCTCCCCTCAGACAGGGCTCCCCAACCCTCCTCAGTCTCAGCACCGACAGGAGCCCTCCCCGCCCCCCATTCGTGTTTACACCTTGTGATGCTATGAGCAGTCCCCTTGCTCCTGGGTCCTCTGCACCTCTCTGGGGGGCATGCAGGCAGAGAGCTTCATCATGCTTCTGTCCAGATGAGAAAATAAGCCACCTCCAGTGAGATGTTAGGTGGTGGGCTCCAAGCCCCCTGGCAAGTCAGAGCCCTAACTGAACCCTCCAGAGTACTATGGGAAAAGCCCAGGCAGTGAAAACAGAGGGTTTTAATCCCTGTTGGGCAGACTCCCCAACCAGCTGTGTGCCCTTGGGCAAGCTATTTAACTTCTCTGAACTTTACTTTCAGTCAAATCTGGGAGGTTTTCCGTAGGCTTCTCGGGAGGTTCCAACTGAGCTGAGCCCTCTTGTGTCCATAGCAGTGAGCTTAACAGTACCCCTCGTATTGGACAATGCCCAGCACTGGAGAGGCACTGACAAACATCAGACGCACGCAAAGCTGTGAAGTGCACTCCTTTTCAGATGGCTTCTATCCAAAGCTCTGAAAGCCCATCCCCTCCCACTGCCCCCCACCCCCGTCACCACGCAGACCCCGCCTTTAGAATCGGACCACACTCAGGTCCACTCTGACTCCCACACCTTCTCTTCACTCCCTCCGGCTCTGATGCTGAGGCTCAGCCGTTCTCATGAAGGCTGTTGGGACAGATCCATAATTCAGGGACATCATCGCTCCTCAAAGGTACAGGGAGGTATTTGGGAAATAGAACTTGGAGGGAGCTTGACTTTGGCCAAGAGGGTTGTGGTTTGGTCCCTTGAGCTTGGAGTTCAACAGAACCTTAAGACACATTTGGCATCTGTGTAAAATCTCTGCTCTGTGCCCCCAGCTGCAGGACAATGGGGGCCATTTATAACTCTGCACATGGAATGAGAACATCTGGTTCAAATAACACACATACACATACCCCAACAGGAACACATCACAGTAGAGACGAGCGCTCTTAAACTGAATGTACTCTCCTGCTCTCAGTTCAGGGACCATGGGAACCAATAAAGAAGACACAAGCCCTGTCCTGGGGGAAGTGGTAGGGGTTGTTATATCTAACACTGTTCACTCTGAGTCCCTTGGACAGCAAGGAGATCAAACCAGTCAATCCTAAAGGAAATCAACCCTGAATATTCATTGGAGGGACTGACGCTAAAGCTCCAGTACTTTGGCCAACTGATGGGAAGAGCCGATTCATTGGGAAAGACCCTGATGCTGGGAAAGATTGAGGGCAGGAGGAGAAGGGGTGACAGAGAATAAGATGGTTGGATGGCATCATCCACTCAGTGGAAATGAGTTTGAGCAAACTCAGGGAGAAATGGTGAAGGACAGGGAAGCCTGGAGCACTGTTGTCCATGGGGTCACAAAGAGCTGGATGTGACTTAGCGACTGAACAACAGCAATAACATCTGAGATGGTGGGGAACCTGTCTGAAGTCACACAGCAAGGGAGAGACAGTGGACCCCGGCCCAACCTCCTTCCAGGCTGCAGCTCTCCCCAGCTCCGTGCACATGCACTTCACCCAGCGAAGAAGCAAGCAGACCCTCTGCCCTTTGGAGTCTGGAGGATGGAGAGAGGCACCCTCTTCCCCCGAGAAGTCAGAGGTCCCCAGGGTCCTGGCCAGCAGACAGCCTTTTGTCACGTGGAGCATGGCCATCTGTGATGCCAGCGCTGGTGCTGCAGAGAGCCCAGACTCATGGAATCTGCAGAGAGGCGGGGCACTCTGCAGCCCGTCAGGCTGGGGTCACAAGCGCCGGGGCGCACACAAGGGAACGCAGGAGCAGGTGCACCCAGGGCAGTGGGCCCAGCTGCGCATGCCTGTTGGAGAGTAGATGGTTGTGCCCAGTGGCGCATTGAGCGTGCACTTCCTCCACGGAAAACATCTGCAGAGCTGGGCTGTCTTTTCTTGCCCTATTTTGTTCTAACTTCTTGATTTCTCTGGTTCTCCCTCTTTCCACAGTCCCTCCAATAGGTTTCTCTGCCCCAGATTGCCTCAAAGGTTGGGAGACCCCAGCCTCAGTTCGCCTTTCTTCTTCATTGGGGGTCCTTCTTTCTGAGGTCCGGAGGGAAGTGAAACATCCCTTCACAGTTACCCCTTCCCTGTCTTCCCAGAAGACTGTCGCCCAACCCCTGTGACCTCATAGGCGCCATTAAAACCAAGCACAGCCCACAGGAGGCTGAATGCATGTGGGGCCTGAGAGCTACAGAGGAATTAAGGATGATGCTTACTTTTTATTTTTTTTAAACCTAAACAACTAGAAGAATGGAGTTGCTGTTAACTGAGATGAGGAAGATGTGGGTGGCACAGGTTGAGGCGGTAAACATCCAGAGTTTCACTTTGGACGTATTTTGTGTGACTTCTCAGAAGACAGTTGAATGTATGAGCCTGGATTTCAGAAGGCGAATCTGATTGATGAGAGAAATTTGGAAGCCCTCAATATAGATGATAATATAAAACCATGGGCTGGATGAGGTGACCTAGGGTGTGAGTGTGGCACTTTACCCCTCTTCTCTGTAGTGGGGTAAAAGAGAATCTTTCTTGTATTGTGGGGATGAAAAGGGATGATGAGTGTGAGATGCTTAGCCCAACAGTTTGAGGTGCCCGGGGCTTGATACTTAGCTATTACAGGAAGGCTCGGGGAGGGAGGGTCACTGTGCGCAGCAGCAGAGACCTTGGGAAAGGTAAACTACACGCAGATTATTAATGGTGGGCTCTGGGAGAATGGGTTGCCGTCTCTGCAGATATCAGATTCCCAGGAGCCCCCTGGACCCTGATCCTTTAATGCAGGCTGTCTTACCAACGAGTCCTCCATGCAGCCAGCACCCAGCTAGAAGGAAGCCTAGACATCCCAGCCCTGTCAAGACAAAACCCAGACCCTGCCTGCCTCGTGTTCATTTTACTCCAGCTACTGTCTGGTGGTTCCCTTGCTTCTGCTGGAGGCTTACTATTTCCCTGCCTGACGTGCTCCTATTGGAACTGGACACTGATCAGATGTTTCCCACCCCCGTGTCATGCATTCTACTCCCGCAACAATCTTACGAGGAAGATTTGTTTGTCGCTCCACTTCAGAGGACAGGTAAGGTGATAGCACTCACTCTTTAGCTCATCCCGCCAGTCTCCTGGCCTCAAACCTCATCTATGCCAAGGCTCCCAAATTCTCCTCTTCGACCAGACCGCCATCCTGAACACACTCTTATCTCTGCCTAAATCCATTTCCTCTTTCTCTGCTTGGTTAACTCTTATTCACCCTTCGTTTCATCTTAGATGTTCCATCCTTCCAGACAGCTCTAAAATCCTCCCCTCAATCTGGATCAGGTACCTTCTCAGAGTCCCCATAACACCCTGTCAACACATGCTATTGAATTCATCTATTTTTTGGCTTCTCTGTGTCTCTAGACTTGGTAAAATTCGTTGCTTAAAAGACAAAAGTATAAGATAGGTAAAAACAAGGACCTACTGAATAGCACAGGGAAATATAATCAATATTTTATAATAACCTATAATGAAAAATAATCTGAAAAAGAATATATAATATACACACACATATATATAGATATATATAAAACTGAGTCACTTTACTATACACCTGAAACTAACCCTATAACCTAGTAAGTTAACTATGCTTCAATTGTAAAAAGTACGAGAACTTCCCTGGTGGTCCAGTGGTTAAGAATCTGCCTTCCAATGCAGGGGATGTGGGTTTAATTCCTGGTCAGGGAACTAAGATCCCACATGCAGAGGAGCAAATAAGCCTGAGCTCCACCACTACTGAGTCTGCATGTCGCAACCAGAGAGGCCCCATGCCACAACTAAGACATAACACAGCCAATAAATAAACACATAAATATTGTTTAAAAGTACAAAGGGAATGATGGGGTGAATCAGAAGTGGGTGTATTTGGGGATGAAACCAGTAAAGACGATACCCCACCTTATACCCACACAGCCCCCAGGGAGGACTCTGGAGCAACAGATTTGGAGTCAGGCAGGCCTGTGTTCAAATCCCAGCTTGGCCAGTTATTAGCTGTGTGACCCAAGATTCTTTAAAATGTGTTAATAATTATGTCTAGCTCATGAAATTGCTATGAGAAGCAGTTGAAGCCAGCCTTAGAACAGAGTTATGCTCAAAAAGTTGTAAAAGTACTTGCTGGTATTCATGGCCAATCCTCTTCCTTTTGGAAAATAAATACACAGGGCCAGCTGTAGAGCTAGCAGAATGAGGGGCCCAATGAGTGGCTCCTAGAAAAGACAGAGGGGACAGCATGTGGGCGGGCCAGGCTTTGTTCTCCAGGGATTCGAGTTACCAAGCACTTCGTCAGAAGGGCAGCCACATCTCTTTCCAGCCCACGACCTGAACAAAACCAGCAAAGCCTTGACAAGCAGGGCCTGGAGGACTGGCTTTAGGAAGAGATAACGCTGACTTCCCAGGAGGCCTCCATTGTAAACAAACAGCTGCTTCCAAAGTGCCTTTCCCCGTGCGTGTTCTGGACTCTGCCTGCACTGTGTCCTCTGCCTGCATCGTTCAGTCTCTCTCTATTGCACACTTGCTCACCTCTCAGCTCTGGAATGCTGCTTTTTAATCCCGTGCTGTTGGAGAGCTCAGTCAGAAAGGCTGGCATGCCAGGGGTGGGGGCGTGACTTTCAGGAAGGAATCCTTGCGATGTCAAGAGGGAGGCCCCTTGAGAGTCTATGGGATCTTCCCAGGGTCCCCCTGTCCCCACACCTGGCCACCTGGTCAGATGTCTGCTAGGTGTACCCTTGGATCCAGACCCTAGGGTCCCCCTCACTCTAATTTGGTATCTCCTGAATGGAGCTCATTTAGTATTGGCCAACTCCAGTGGGGCACTGGCCTTCAGCCTCCTCTCCTAGGTAGGAGACCCAGGCCCAGACCCCATCTTCGCTTCACAAGTCATAACTGGGAGCTGACTAGTTACAAGGACCACAGCCTCACTGTGGACCCGAGGTAGGACAAGCCTGCCACCACCAGCATTTATGGCTCAGTACCATCCGCCTCTTCTGTGAAGGCTTCTCCACATTCAGTGAGGGGGTCCTCACTGAACCCCTTTCTTTGAACTCTTGAAGCCTGAGTAAAATCTGCACCCCCTCATCTTAGTCCTGAGTTGTCTACTTTAGAAATCAATCATCTTTGCATACTGTGGTGAATAAGATATTTATGGTCACTAAATCCTGACTCTACTGAGGGATTCAGGCAAATGACACTGCCCTTCTGGACCTCAGTTTCTGCATCTGTAAAGTGGGATAATAGCAACCTTTCTCAGGGGACTACTTGTAAGGATTCAGTGGGTTATTATATCAAGTGTCTAGCATAGGGCCTTCCACATAATATGTGATCAATAAATGGCAGTGTTATTATTTAGGGAAGCAGACTCAGTCAGTGTATGTACTCTAGGGCTTTAAATGCACTCTACCACTTACCAGCTTTGGGATCCTAGGTAAACTTCTTAACCTTTATAAGCTATGATTTTCTCATCTGTGGAATGGGACGAATAATGCCTATTTTTAAAGGTGAGGAAACCAAGGCACAGATAGGTTAAGTGACTTGCCCTAGATTACACAGCTAGCAGTGTCAAATATACGGTATGAAGGCTCTAGAGCCTGTTCACTTGACCACTGCCGCAGAACGACAGGAGGGACACACAGAGGGCCCTGCAGTGAGGAAGTGGAGAGGAGGGGGCATCTTTTCTGCAGGCAGTGTCGAGGGAGATGAGGAGAGCTTTAAATGGAAGGTGAACATTGCTCTAGTCCTGGAGAGAGAGTGCATGTGGCTGAGAATGAAGTTAGAAAGTCATTCCAGATGGGAGACCTCTTACAGTGTTGGTGGGGTATAAATTGGTGCAGCCACTACGGAAAACAGTCAACAGTTCCTCAAAAAAACTAAAAATAGAGTTGCCATATGATCCAGCAATCTCTCTTCTGGGCCTATACCTGGACAAAATCGTAATTCGAAAAGATGCATGCCTCTCTGTGTTCATAAAAGCAGTATTTACAGTAGTTAAGACATGGAAGCAATCTAGATGTCTATCAACAGATGAACAGATAAAGTAGATGTGCTACATATATATCTATATTTACAATGCAGCATTACTCAGCCACAAAAAAGAATGCTCTTGCTGCTGCTGCTGCTGCGTCACTTGAGTCGTGTCCGACTCTGTGACCCCATGGACTGCAGCCTACCAGGCTCCCCTGTCCCTGGGATTCTCCAGGCAAGAACACTGGAGTGGGTTGCCGTTTCCTTCTCCAATGCATGAAAGTGAAAAGTGAAAGTGAAGTCGCTCAGTTGTGTCTGACTCTTAGCGACCCCATGGACTGCAGCCTACCAGGCTCCTCTGCCCATGGGATTTTCCAGGCAAGAGTACTGGAGTGGGTTGCCAGTGCCTTCTCCAAAAAAAGAATGAAATAATGCCATTTGCAGTTCCAAAAAAAGAATGAAATAATGCCATTTGCAGCAACATGGATGGACCTAGAGAATATCATACTAAGCAAAGTAAGTCAGAAAGAGAAAGACAAATGCCATATGATACCACTTATATGTGGAATCTAAAATACATAGATGAACATATTTACGAAACAAAAACAATTATAGATATAGAGAACAGACTTGTGGCTTCCAAGGGGGAGGGGATGGGGGAGGGAAGGATTGGGAGTTCGGGGTTATCAGATGCAAACTATTATATATGTGCCACATAAACAACAAGGTCCTACTGTATAGCATAGGGAACTATATTCAACATTCTATGATAAGCCATAATGGAATGGAAAAGGATATATTTTATATATATATATATATATATATACCCACACACACATATAT